GCGCGGGGGGCGCGGGGGCGCGAGGGGCGGCGGCGTCCCTGGGAAAGGGCGCCGACCGGAAACGCGCGCGCCGCAAGTAACGTTCCGCCGCCCCAGAGCCCGCCGCTCTGACGGCCCGCTTTTTTTGAGTATCTAGGGATCGCGAGAAAGGAGAGGGGCCGAGCGCGCGGGAACCACACAGCCCGCCCCCTGCCCCCCGCTCCCTTCCCATCCCCTACGGGGATAGTTCATTCTCTGGGACAGACTGATTAGTAGACGAGACTAGGCAAGGCTGTCTTTGCCCGAAGTCCCACAAGGAACGGACGCGCCCAATCCGTCCTCTTCTCACTGGCCGACCCGCCTGCATCCCCTTCCAAACGAGGCAGAGAGCGGGAAGAGGGAAGTTTCTGTCGGCTGGGCAAATGGGGAGACCGAGGTGCAGACAGGGCCAAACCTTGCCAGATGCAAAGGTGGGCAAGGGTGGTTCTTCCCATCGGACAGGTGGGGAGACCGACGGCCCGAGAGGGCCAAACCTTGACATGCAGAGGTGGGCAAGAGTGGCTCTTCCCATCGAGGAAGGGGGAGACTGAGGCGCAAGGAGCAGCAGCGACAGTGTCTGGGTGGTGTCGGCACAAAGCGCGGTGGGCCCGATGCTCCCGCTTGCAGAGAGGAAACCGAGGTCCGGCGGCCGCGTCCTGGTGCAGGAGCGCGTTGACCAGAGAGGGGTAGGGCAGCCAGGCCAGATCCGGAACTTAGTGCGGCGGTCGGCGGCAGGCCGCACCAGGTGGCCGGAGCGCCGGAAGGCCTGGGGCAGGCGGCGCACGCGGAAGGTTGGAACGTCGAGTGCAGCGCCCGGGGGCGCCCGCAGCTCGTCCTCCAGCTGCGCGGTGAACTAGTAGCGAATGCTGCGCGTGTCCACGTGTAGGTCGTGGCGCGGGGGGAACCAGAGGGGGGCGGCCGCTGCAGCTGGGGAGGGGAGGCAGCTGGGGGCACAGAAGGGAGAGAACCGGCGTCACGGTCGCACCCAGACCAAGGACCCCGGCTTGGCCAGAGGTGCGTCCGAGAAAGCTGCCGAAAAGAACTTTCTGGGATGATGAAAAAGTTCTATGATCTGCGCGTTGTCCACTGGGACAGCCACTAGCCGCGTGAGGCTATTGCTCATAAGAAATGTGGCTAGGGCTTGAGGACCTGAATTTTAAATGGCATTTCATTTCTTTTAATTTAAATCTAAATAGCCACAGGTGGCTAACCGCTGCCCACCTTACGGTACAGCTCCTAAACCACCCTCAACCAGTTGCAAACTGGAGACCCGCGGGCCAGAGAGGGCACAGTTATATTTGGTTTGGATCACAGATATGTCTTAATGTTTTACTGGGCAATATTTTAAAAGCCAGAAAATGCACACACAAATTGCCAGCTATAGAAAAGTCTCTAGATGGGGCAACAGTAAACTGAAACTGATTAAGCATTCTCAGAAAACCTTCAAGAAACCTCCAAGTGACCCAACAACTGTGATCTTAGGCTTCAATTAAAGATCCTCCAGAACTGTACTGTCCTAAAGGGCAGCCACTGGCCACAGGTCGCTCTTAAGCGTTTGGCATGTGTCCGGTCTGAACTGAGATGTGTCATAAATGCAAGACACCTAAAAGATTCTGAAGACTGAGTATGAAAAGAGTGTAAAGTATCTCATGAATGACTTTAATGTTGATAACATTTAGAAATGATACTCTGGGTGTACTGACTGGGTTAAGTATGTTATTTAATTTCAGCGGTTCCTCTTCACGTTTTAAAGCATGGCTTCACTACTGGAAACTGTTGTCCTAGAGGTTCTTCCTCTTTTGTAATTTTATGGGGCGGGGGGCAGTAGGGTGAGTGGAAACTGGTGAACTGAAAGGGTGTGCGCGGTTTAAAGGGGTAACTACACATTCTGTCTACGCCAGGCTTCTCAACTTTGGCACTACTGACATTTTGGGGCTGGATCATTCTTTGTTGTGGGGGACTGTCCTGTGCACTGTAGGATATGGAGCAGCATCCCTGGCCTCCACACTTCAGGTGCCAGGAGCACCGTCTCTCACCCCTCAATCTCACTCCCCACCCCAGCTGTGACAAAAGACTTGGCCAAATGTCCCCCAGGGAGCAACATAGATCCTGGGCTACACAGACAACTACCACAGGCGTCTCCCACCCAGATCCCTTTCTTGAGTTTCAGACCCATGAAACTTGCTTTGTCCATGAGAGCCACGCCCACCCCACCCCACCCCACCCCGAACTCTGGAAATAACGACAAGGACCAACGTTTATTGGGCCCTTCCTATGGTGCCAGCCATCGCTAAATGCACTGAACCCTCAGAGCAGATCCAGGAGGGAGGTGCCATGCGGATGCCTATTTTATAGATGAGGAAACGGAAGCTCCGAGAGGTCACGTGATTGGGACTGAGCTCACACATCCGCTGGACAGCACGTGCTTCTAACTGACCCGAGTCAGAGCTCATGGCCACTGTCTGCAAGCACCTCATGCTTCTCCCCAACCCACTGCCGCCACCGGCCCAGCTCACCATGGCAGCCTCCCCACCCCGCCAGTCCCTTCCCTCTATGGCAACACTGCAGCAGTGTAATTACGCTAACCCACAGAATCATGTCATCACCTGACCTAAAACCCTCCTTGCTGCACTTGGAATAAAACTCAGAAGCTGCCATCACCACAGTGCCGCCCAGCCCACCTGGCCCACTTCCAAGGCCTTGTGTTTGCTGTTCTGCCCTCTGGAATATTCCTCCCAGCCCCTCACAAGGACACACCCTTTCTGGCCATTCAGGTCTCAACTCAAGTAATCCTTCATCACTGAAGCGGCTGCTGGTTGTATCAGAGCTCAAGCTGGTGAGCAGGTGAGGCCCTGCTCCGTCTGGTCAGGCCATTCCCTCCGCATCTCGTATTGCAGTCCGTAGTGGTCTTGCTCGTTTTTGGATTTGCTACTTTACTGCCTGCTTTTCCCGCTCTGTCCTAGGCGACATTCTACCCTCAGAACCTAGCAAAGGTCTGGGGAGAGGGTAGGGGCTCGGTTCAATATTGGTTGAATGAATGAATTCAGTCACCCCGACCAAAGGTAAAGCATTATCTCCCCCCACCAAAACAAAAAGCCTTGCTTCTCTCCTGGGACAGGATCATAATGAAGGCCCACATCCACACCAGTCTGGAACCTCTAACGTCCTCATCCCACCCCCCCATTTCTACACTCCCCAAAGCCAGAAGGCACCAAGGTCTGTCCCTCCCTCATCCTGAATGTTCCCCTCTGCTCCCCAAGCCCCAGCTCTGGCCCCTCCTTCCTGCACAGGGCCCCTGCACCAGCCTTCTCCCTGCTATCTTGGTTCCCAGTACTGCCCCCGCCCTCCTTGACACTCTTCTCACAGCTGTCTCATATGTAACCTCTGCACAAAATCTTGTCACGGCCCCCATGACCCTCAGGACCAAGTCCCCAGG